TGAATGGAAGCTTTAGCACTGCAATAAAATTGCACCATGTCACGAGGCGCCTAATGGAGAAAGTGATATAATTAGCCTGTGGTCCATTGGGCCTCAGTGACGAAGAAGCGTTAGCTCATTTCCCTGCTTTTAGATAAGGGAGCCAAGGCTCCACAGGTGATGTGCCATTGCAGTATTTGATCTTAGAGTGTGAGAACTTCCTAGCTCTCACATTGAATACAAGGATACCTTTCTGCTACATGGATGGTGTCATGGAAGAGGAGTGTCTATTGGACACACAGATGTGGGTTTCATCTCAGGTTTAAGCTTGACTTTGCTCATTACTGCTAGGCAGACTTGGCTACTATTTAATGTCATTGTTTTTCTTTTAGTGGAGATTTTGATGGTCAGCCACCAGAATTATTGTGAAGTTAAAGGAACAAGAATGTCTGAACCTGTTAGCCACCATGCTTGTGTGTCTATTCCATTAAGAAATGTTAATGAATTCTCATTCTCTCTGTCTCTGTCTCTGTCTCTGTCTCTGTCTCTGTCTCTGTCTCTGTCTCTGTCTCTGTCTCTCTCTCTCTCTCTGCTTTATACTATCCTCCCTTGCTCCAAACCAGGGAGGAGGCAGAGGATGGCTTCCAAGATTATTTTCTTTTTGTAGGAGTTTTTCTTCCTTCTTATAAGAGGAGGCCTGGCTTATATGTTTAAGTGAGAGTAGCAATGTCCCTGGGGTATGCGATTGTTGGCAGGAGAAATGTTTAGCTCAGGGTGTGGTTCATGGTCTAAGCCATTGTTACATTTAAATTAAATACTGCTTATTACTATGATGACTTCTTATGATCACCATTATGATGTCCATTTGTGCTGTGCTGTTGAAATAGACAGGGAACAAGTATCACATGGAGTTGGATAAAGCATCCTCTATCCCTTATGATGATTTTAAACACTAAATAATTACAATAGTTTTGAACTATGAGTGTTAGCAATTGCTCTCAATTCTCTTCTCTCTCTAGCTATGGAGCAGGATTGATTTAGACTGGTTTGTAAATTACCTCTTTCCTCTACCGAGTTTGTGTGTGTGTGTGTGTGTGTGTGTGTGTGTGTGTGTGTGTGTGTGTTTGTAAGTGTACATATGCATATGTGTGCTCATGCCTATTGTGAAATTTATAAAGTGCCAATCCAGTGTGAAGCACTGTGTCCTAGGCTTTATATAACTGTCTTATTCTTATTGTCATCAGTAATACTGTTAGTTAGAAATGATGTTCCCCATTCTAGAGATGAGGAAAACAAAGGTTCAATAAAATTAAAGACTGGCTCAAGTTCACACCACTTGTGTGAGTCAGGACTTGGGTTGAATTCAGGGCCTGTGTAGAATTTATCACATTATGTTGATCCTTCATTGATTCTTTCTCCCCTGAAGTTCTTTTCCAAGGAGGGTGGACTAGGGTAAGGTTCAGTGTATGCAAGTCAATTAATGTAATAAACTGCATAAATCTGCTTAAAGACAAAAATCACAGGGTCATCTCAATAGATGCACAAAAAGCTTTTGACAAACTCCATTATGCCTTCATGATAAAAGTCTCAGAGAGTGGGACTAGAGAGAACATATCTCAACATAATAAAAGATATATGTGAGAAACTCACAGCCAACATCATCCTATATGGAGAGAATCTATCCATATTTGCAGATGACATGATATTATACATAAGAGATCCCAAAGATTCTACCAGAAAGCTTCTAGAAATGACAAGTTCAGCAATGTGGCAGGATACAGGATCAACTTTCATGAATCAATAGCTTTTTCACACACCACCAACAAGCATACAAGGGAAGCGATCACATACTTCCATTCATAATCGCCTCAAAGAAAATAAAATATCTAGGAATAATTCTGGCAGAGGAGGTGAAGGACCTGTATAATAAAAACTTTAAACCTCCAAAGAAAGAGATAGAAAAAGACATTAAAAACAAGAATACACTCCATGGATTAACAGAATATTGTGAAATCAAAAGCTATTTACATATTTAATTCAATCCCCATCAAAATCCCTACCTCATTCTTTGCAAAAATAGAAAATAAATAAATAAATAAATAAATAATAAATAAATAGAATCCTAAGATTCATATGGAACCACAGAAGACCCTGGATAGCCAAAACTGTCTGAGCAAAAAGAACAAGGTTGGAGGGATTATCATTCCAGATCTTAAGATATATTACAGAGCCACAGTAATAAAAAGAAAACGACAGTGCTACTAAAACAGACCTGTCGACCAAAGGAGCAAAGTCCAAGGCCCAAACATGAGGACCTGTAACTAGAGTCACTTAATATTCAGTGCAAATGCCAAAAACATAAGCTGGAAGAAAGAAAGCATCTTCAACAAATGATGCCGGGAAAACTGATTTATCCACATGCAGAAGAATGAAATTAGACCAGTGTCTATCACCTTACATAAAAACTAACTCCATAAATAGACCAAAGAGATAACTGAGAAATCTGAACACAAGGAAAGCACCATGTATGGCGGGGCTTCTTGAGAGTTCTATGGGTCTGCTGGCTCTCTCTTGCCCCCTGGTGGAGTCCCTAGCCACCGCATTATCACTAGGGAATGGGTGATGAGGAAATAAATGGACATTGAAAGCTTGCTTGATTCCCTCCTTCCTTGAGTGGTAATAGAAAGTACATTTCACAGCAGTGTTGTAAAAGTTGCCATGTGTGAGGGCCTTGTAAGACCAAGCAATACTAGCCACTTAAGACAGTGAGCAACCCAGAGTCCAAGACTTATGTGCCAGGTTAGCCTTCTCTATTCATGAGACAAGGGCGATCAATCTTTCACTTTTCCTTTTCTCATTGAAGCACTAGAGAAAATTTTTTTGGGGGGTGAGGGAGGAGTTTGTTTCTAGATATTTTAAGTGAAGGCACAGTGAAAAAAACTTGAAAGTTAGTTAAGATGTCATTTTATTTATCACCCAAGAGCCTTATAAATTATACACACACACACACACACACACACACACACACACACACACACATACACATATATACATATATGTGTGTGTGATATATATATGTGTGTGTGTGTGTGTGTGTGTGTGTATGAGTATGTTTGTATCTGTCTCTCTCTGTGTGTACATGTATGTGTATGTGGGTATGTGTGTCTGTGTGTTTTTGTATATGTGTGTCTATGTGTGTATGGGTATGTGTATATATCTCTGTGTGTGTCTCTGTGTGAATATGTGTGTCTGTGTGAGTGTGTATTGTTTGTGTGTGTTTGTGTATGCGTGTGTGTGTCTCTGTGTCTGTGGGTGAGTCTGTGTTTGTATGTTTATGTGTCTCTGTATGTGTAAGTAAGTATGTACATACACACACACACACACACACACACATATGATTTTCCCTTTTTAAATTTTTATTTGGAGACAGGGTCTCACACTGTGGCCCAGGCACGTCTCAAAGTCACAATGTCCTCTCATTCTCCTGAGTGCTGGGTTGTAGGTGTGTGCCACCAACTTGTTCTGGGCTACACACCTGCCATTTCACACAGAGTGAACTCTTCATCAATGAGTAATAGCATCACAGACAGTGTAACAGACACTCTCTGAACTCCATACCAAAATACAAACAGCAGTCTTCTTTACCTACATCCTGGGCTGTGCTAAATGACTGTAAATCACTATTATTTTTCAGTGTTGTGGAGACAAGCTGTGGGGAGACTGGCGGCCCCACTTGGCCGTGATCCTGTCAAATCAGGCTGGGGACACAGAGCTGTACCAGCGAGCGATTGTCAGCATGGGGGACACCCTGGGTAAGCCGAAGCCAGCATCACCCCTTCTCTAGGGCGTCTCCAGGCCAGCTTCCAACAACGACACTAGAGTCTTAACTCTGTGGGAGCCAGAGTCCATGGCTCGGCCTTCTCAAGCTCTGTTGGAGCCTCTGTTCTCCTGGTTAAGAAACTGCAGGTTAAAAAAAAAAAATCTATGTGTAATTCTGTTCCCCAGAATTCCCTTCGCCAGCTTGTTTTGTTTTTCCACATCTGTTTCCCAGAATTCCCACTGGCAGCTTTCTTTTGTCTTTTGCTGTACAGCCCCTCTGCATGTTCTAGTCACAGGTGAGACTCCTTTACCTGGAACTAACACAGGGGCATGCCACTTCCCGTGGCCTCATGACCGTCAGTGGCCCAAGGCCATTGGATGGGAAATGTCTAAACTCCCTTGGTGACTCTGCCTTTATTTCTATTATCTGCCTGTGAACATGGCCTTACAAGCACTTAATGGCTGTAGCACATTCCAGATCACTACTTCGAAAATTTGGTCTGGGCAGATCTTTTAGAAATCATGGTTGTTCTTTGAGGAACACTGTGAACAATTGCTTTGCTGAATTGGAAGCAGCCATGTCTAAGGTTGTGACAAGTGATGGCCGTCACCCAGCTACCATGTCTACTGGATATCAGACTCTGAGTTGGGTGCTCTACCCACGGCATTAGTTACATCTCTGTGTAATTGCTGTGACAAAACAGCCCACCCAACCTTTAGCAAAGACGGGATGACTTTGGTTCACAGTCATAGGGAAGACAACCTCTCGTGGCCAGAGTGTGCTGTGGCTAGAGGCCTAGTGCTCACTGTCAGGAAGCAGAGATGAGTGACAGGGTTCAGCCTGCTCCCTCCTTCCCTCTCTTTTCATTCAGCCCTGGGATCCTAGCTCAGAGGATGGCTCCTCCCACACTCCCAATGGGCCTTCCCTACTCAGTTAAACCTCTCAGGGAACACCCACAAGAGCACGCCCAGAGGGTGGGTCTCCTAAGTTATTCCAATTCTATTCAAGTTGACAACGAAGATTAACAGTCACACCCACTTAATTCAATTTTAAGGCAGTGGGAAATGTACAAAGAACATTAAAAAGATCAGGAACAGTTTGGTAATTGATGGGATTTTTCTGAGCACAGGAAAAGCCTTCCACTGTCTGACTTGAGCAGAGGAAGAAGTCACGCCCCACGAGGATGCATTAAACCCATTTCTAATGTTCCACGTTACTTAGGTATAGGCATCTCTTCTCACTTCTCAGCCTCAGGAAGGACCATGACTCTTAGAAAATTCCTAAAGAAAAAAAAAAACCCCATCAGGGGAATGTGAAATAGCACCCCATGAGACCTGAAACGCAGTATCTTTGGTCCAGAAAAGCTGATGTGGAAGGGAGTGAGATGGAAGTGTCTGTGACTTATGCTGTGAGAACTGCCCCGGACTGTCCTCCTGAGGTCTCTGCACTGTGCCCCTGGAGTTCACTCGTTATCGCTCTCTGTCCTGCTCAGGTGGTGGGCCCCACAGGGTGCGTTTTATGACGGGGCTCTTGTTCTCTTCCTGCAGCTGGGAAGGGGCTTGTCGAGGCGGCCCACTTCTGCTATATCATGGCTCCCGTGCCCTTTGGCCACTACACCTCGAAGACAGACCATCTGGCCTTGCTGGGCAGTAACCACAGGTGTGTGACTTTTGCAGGGAAGGGAAATGGCAAAGATGTTTTCCATGGGCTGTTTCAGCCCTTGCTGGCTTTCATGGCTTCACTATTCATTTTCTTGTGTAAATTTCAGCGACTGCTGGCTCCTCCTCTAGATCTTCAGCAGGGGTCTAGGCAAGGTGACCAGAGGGTGCCACAGCACACCACCAGAGGGCCTGAACCGGCGCCTCTGGTGTGTATTGTACCCTTCTGGCCACTGGGCGGCAGCCTAGCTCCACAACCAGAGATTGTACAGGAAGAAAAATGAAAAGAAGTTTACAAGCAGTCTCTTTTGGGCAGCCCTGGGCCTGTTCTGAGAGCCTTTTCTTTGGGGGCCTCCATACTACTTCAATACATTAATGTGGGGGCACAAGCTCCTTGGAGCCTGTCCCATTGGTCACCTGTTTTATGGGAGCCATACCTCAGGATTTTATGCTGAGAGAATCCCAGAGTCCTAGAGAAGGCATGAGCTGAAACAGACACGCTTGCCCTGGGTGGCCCTCACTGTTCTGGATCTTTCTACCCCCTTCTCCTCAATAGTTAGGATTTCTGAGCAGTCATGGTATTATGCTCCTGGAATTCCAGTAGTTGAGAGATATAGATAGGAGGATTGTAGCAAGATCAGTGCTAGCCTGGGCTAACAGGGAGTTCTAGGCTAGCCAGCCAGCCAGGGCTATCTCAACAGAGAAAAAGGAAACACGTCTGAGATGTGGCACCATCAGCTCCTCTGCGCTGTTTCCTTTGTTACAGATTTACCCTATATAAAAGAAAGGTAAATGCAGCAGGGGACGCAAGGGACAGAGGAATGGAAAGTCCCGTCTAAGGTAGCATCACTGGTGCACCAGGAGGTTGAACTTGACGGGCTACGGGAGCCAGACTTGTGATTGATGTCCCCAGCCCTCTGCCACTCACTGTAGCAATGTGCCTACTTCATAGACCCTTCTCTTGAGAGCCTAGTCTCAGAAAGCACAGTCAGCTTCTCAAGGAAGCCTATCTGGGCCAAATAGAACCATAAAGGTACCGGAGTCAATATGTCTCCTCTTCTATGTCTGTGAATCCTGAGGAAGCTTCTGGACATAGGTTAGCTTCTGAAAATATTTCTGGTGACTGAGATGTCGGGCACCTAGTAAGCTGTGGAGGGGAGTCTGGGAGGGTGTGTGTATGTTTCCCCTCAGATGGCATTCACCCTAGTTCTCACCCTCACTGGCCGACATGAACTTCCTGTGCAAGACCTGCCATTTTTTTTTTTTCTGGCTCAGCGGTCCTCCCCATTCTCTGCCAGGTCATCTGTGGTGCTCCTGGACCCTGCGGCTTTCTCTTTTGCACTGGTGCGCTCGGGCTGATCTGCCTTTTTTGGGGGTGCGGCAGGCTTAGGGCTGAAGGCTAGCTAGCTTTCAGGATGTGAAAGTGGGAGAATCGCAGTGTCCTGCCTTCTATTAAGGAAGGCGCAGAACCTCCTTCCCACAGGCAGGCTCCTCTAGAACAGCTGGCACACGCTCATTCCGTTTGTTCCCCAAACCCAAGAGGAAGGAGGGCGAGGAGGAAGTGTATCCACCTTGGGCCCCCAGTCTCTTTCCTCTCTTGGAGCTGCTTGCGAGAGGCGTTCCCATCTCACCTCTGTTACTGTTATTCCCCGGTTTTAGTCAGGAGTTTTTGAAGTTTGCTACAATCGAGGCGATCCAGAGGACAGAAATCTTCGAGTACTGCCAGATGCTGGGCCGCCCCAAATCCTTCATCCCTTCTTTCCAGGTAACTGAACCCGGAGGGGACCGTCAGCTTAGTTGTGGGCAGTCAGGTTTTCAGCTTTGCCGTTTGGTACCTGATACCTCGGGCCAAGTCATCTCCCACATTTTTCCCGCATTAGTGTGGGAAGGCTTAGGACCCCCACCCCCACCCCACCTTACCCTTCACCCCCCACCTCCGAGAACCTGGAAGGTCGGAGTTTTACAATATGGAAACAAAACCCTTCGGAGCTCTCTGCTGGGGGCTCTTGCCTCACTCCGGGCACTTGGAAATCTTGCTACAGTTCTGCCCCTGCTTTCTGGTTGCTTCTGCTGCCTTGGGCTCTTGTCTCCCACAGTTCTCAGCTATCCTGTGCAATCGGCAGCTCAACCTCTTTTCCTGGGAGCCTCCCTCCTGCTCTGTCCTAGGCCCATCCACTCTCTCTTCCCTCTCAGGACTTAATCTGAGCAAGCGGCAGCACATTTCGAGGCTCTGCTCTCTTTCTTAGCCTCTGCCGGGCAGCTCATTGCTTCCTCATGTCCGTAGTGACTGATGCAGGCGTTGCATCGGTACCCAGGCTAATCCCCCATGGTTTGGGACCCGGCACCTAGTGGCCTTTTCTCATCTCTCTTGCTGGTGTGGAGGGTGACCTTGGGTGGAGCCCTTGCTGTAAAGCGGCCTAAAACTGAGGTAGTTTGTCTCTGTGCTCGGAACCGACTCTTTCAGGCACAGCACTGGCTCCAAGGCCCCCAGCTCACATTGACTTGACACTATTCTGTATTTTCTTTCCTTTTTATGGGCAGATCCCTTTCTTCTCTGCCTTGAGTATCCCCTTCAGCCCAGGGTAATGACTCTTTCTCTGTCCTACCAGCCAGCTCCCACATAATGACACCGAGACTTCTTACTGATTCTGAAAGCTTGGCCCATAGCTTAGGCTGGTTCCCAACGAGCTCTTATATCTTAAATTAATCCACATTTTAAAATCTGATTTCTACCACATGGCTTTTTACCTTTCTTTCATTCTGTACCTCCGACTTGTTTTGCATCTCCTGGCATCTCCTGGAATTTCCTCTGTGTGCCTAAATTCAATCCCAGTTCCTCTCTTTGCCCAGAAGTCCCACCTAGTCTCCCTGCCTGGCTATTGACCATTTAGCTTTTCATTAAACCAATCACAGTGACACATCTTTACACAGTGTAATCAAATATCTTGCAACATTTCCCCCATTTTGTCTAAATAAAAAGAAAAGATTTTAACTCTAACACAGTAAAACTATAAACAATAAGAACAATTCACCCTTTTATCCCATCATTTCTATACTATATCCGCCCCCTTTTTCCCTTCAGAAACAGATCCCTGAATCTAATAATCTTCTTTGCTCAACTTTTCTCCTGACCATGACCAATAACAACTTGTAACCAACCCCCCCCTAAATAATGACAAACATCCATAACCCACTGAATGACCTAAAACAACTCACCTCACCTTTTGGGAATGTGGACATTGTGTCTTCTAGACTGTCTCCTGTTTTCCGGGGCCAGCAGAATCCCCAGAGGATCCTGAGAAAATTAAGATAATGGTCAAGTCCTAAGAAAAGTAGTTATAACATTTGTTGTTTAGTCTCTGTGCAATGGGAAAGTGCAAAGCTTTTTCTGAAGTCCTGGTTGGAATAGTCTGTGAGGCTGGACCATCTCAGCCAGCAGCCTTAAAGTTGTTCTGAATGCAGAATTCTGAGGATTCTGCAGAAAACTGCAATAGAGGCACTCTGAAAGGTTGGATCACCTGGGCCACCCGTTTTCACCGGTGTCTGGTCCCCTTGCTCTGAAAACACACAAACTTTCAAAGGTGATGTACTTATTTACATTAATATAAGTATGGGCTGTGTGTTGTATACAAGCCAGTCGAAGATGATATTCTTTTTTGTTTGAGCAGTTAAAAGACATCTGTCAACTTTATAAGTTTGTTTAGATTGTATAACCAAACCTCTATCCGTGCCATATGAAAGGATGGCATATAATAGTAAGTCATGAGGACTCTGTCTCTGTAGCCAACAAGATTTATCATGTTTCATCCAGTCTCAGAGCTGTTCCCATAGTAGAGGGATCAGCATATATATCACCTGTCCTATAATCTTTCTTGGTTTCTGTTTTTTATGTCTGTAGCCAAAATTTTCAGGAGGTTTCCCCCAATCAAATCTGATTTCATTAATTTTGAAGAGAACCATAACTTTTTTTCTTTTTTACTATGGAAACAAAAGCAAAACTTCTTCCTTAGCACAACATAGTTTTTGATTTCCATTTTGAAGTTAAGACATTCTTAAAATACATAGGTTGGTTTAATTTAGCAGTTGCCATAACTCATGTCTCTAAGCAGCTACTGTTTTTTGTTCATTAGCAGTTAAAAATTCAAAGTTAACAAAGCACCATACAGGATCCAGACACCTTGTGTATTTCCCATCTTTACGTGGCTTGTTCTTTTTATATTACTTTATTTTTCTTTAGAGACTTCTTTCTTTTATTATTTTTAAGTTGTTTATTTTTTAATGGCTGTCTATACCCATTTTCATTTCTTTCTTTAGCATCTAAGCACATTTTTAAACATACTTACCTTTCTGGAGGTTTTCTGTGTCTGGACCTGGCTTTGCTAAGTGCCTGCAGTGTTTTCTGACCATGCGAGACAAACCTTAAACTGCCATGTCAGTTGCTGCATGGGCTCAGCTTAGCGCATGGCACTGGCAACTGGCTCCAGCCTGCAGGCAGCAGCTGGGAGCCGCATCTCTGTATGTCATGGCCTGCCTGAGAGACTGTGGGACTAGGAAGCTGAGTCTGATTCTGTGTTTGTGTGTTTGTAGCTTTTCTTTCTCAAGTGGAAATACATACCCCATGTTGGGTACCATAAGCAATGAGTCTTTCTCTGTCCTGTCAGCCAGCTCCCACATAATGACATGGAGACATCTTATTAATTTTGAAAGTTTGGCCTGTAACTTAGACTTGTTCCCAACTAGGTTGCATATCTTAAATTAACCCATATTTTAAAATCTATATTCTACCATATAGCTTTTTACCTTTCTTTCATTCTGTACCTCTGACTTGTTCTGTGTCTCCTGGCATCTCCTTTGCATGCCCAGATTCATCCCCAGTTCCTTTTTGCCCAGAAGTCCCACCTAGACTCCCTGCCTGACTACTGGTCATTTAGCTCTTTATTAAATCAAGCACAGTGACACATCCTTACACAGTGCAATCAAATATCTTGCAACACTAGGGACCTTTTCTAATGTCTGGATGTCCTTCAGTGCCTGGTGTTGAGAATGCACTCAGGTATGATAGCAACATAAACAACACATACAACACAAAACACATGCAACCTTGGGAATGAATCACTGTACTATAAATAACCCATTTAATCTCTCGTCTTTGAGAGTTTTTCCTTGCCTAACTGCTCTTCTCCATAGCTCCTGCATAGGCACTTTGGTTTCTTTTCTTCTCCTTCTTTATTCATCCCACCCACATGCTGTGTTGGCACTGTTCTGGGCTGATAGTCATAGCATAGCTATTTTTATTGACTGTTTCACACACTCAACATTGTACTACTATGCTTCTTGAATATTGCTTCTAATCCTATGGGGTTCCCCTTTCGCAAAAAAGGTAATTGAGGCTCAGAGGGTTTGGTTATATGTTACCAGCTCATTTGTGCCCACCATTTATTCTAAGTACTCTGTGTGAATCATCTCATTTTATCTTTATAGCCTCCAATGGAATAGGTAGTATTATCCATGCTATAATGGGGAAACCGAGGCACAGAGAGGCGAAGGAACTAGATTAAATGTCCCACACCTAGTGTGAGCTTGGATTGGATTGGTTTTGTTTGACACCAGAGCCATCACACTTGATCTCATCCTATAGCTCTTTCTGTGAAAGCCCCTTCCCACCCCTGAGCTTGTCTGTGCTTCCCTCTGGACTTCAAAGGGTCTAGGTTGTATCTTCATGTGGACCCTTGTGCCTGGGGTTGCACTTCACGTGCCCAGACTCCCTGATATGATGGTCTGTTGGATAAAAGGGCTGCCTTTCCAATGGAGCCTGGGAAGATGAGTTGATGTGATCCCCCCCACCCATCCTTTTTTCCATAATGCAGGAACTGTATGTAGGCTGGATTTGGAGTTGTGCCCATGCACAGATAAATTGCCCCAAATGGCACAGGGCCCTTGCTATTTGGATGCCAGAGTGAGCGGAAGCTGGCAGTCAGCTGACTTCCAAGAAGTCTTATCTACATTTCTCTCCCTCTCTCCTGCCTGGATGGACTCATCACTGGCCCCGTTCCTCTTCACAGGTGTATAAGCTCCTTTATGCTTCCCGGCTGGCAGATTATGGCCTGGCATCCCAGGCTTTGCATTACTGTGAAGCCATTGGTGAGGCTGTCCTGAGCCAGGGAGGGGGCAGTCACCCTGTGCTATTAGCGGAGCTCATCAAGGTGAGTGTCTCAAAGGGGTCTCTGCAGGAGTTTTATCTTCAGTGTTCAGAGAAGACATTGTAGAGGGGCTTAGACTCCACGTTTCATCTTCTTTGAACACGCTGCAGAATTGGAGCGCACAGCTGTCTTTGACGGTGTTTGCATGCCCCGATGTGATAAGCGGAGGCCTGGCTCCACAAAGAACAACTGGCTGGGTGGGGGCAGTGGGGTTGGGGGGCTGGAAAGCGGGCGTTGCTTTGCTTGAGAAGTTCCATGTGTCTGCTTCCCTGGTACAGTTCAACAGCAAGCTGTGGCGAGCTGTTCTAATTACAAAAGCGGGCCTTTGAAAATAGATTTTCGTGATTAAAACAGGAAATGATCCTTATTAAAATACTTTTAAATGCATAGAATATTTTATCACGTGTGGGACACATTTAAAAAAGAAAACAAAAACATACCAACCCGTAGTTCCTTGGGAAGAAAACAACAATCAAGCAAATAATAGTTGTTTCAATTAACTCAAGGAAAAAAACTCCATTAGCTAGAGAGCGAAAGACAGTGTGAACTTCAATTTGTGTGTTCCCTTACCCGAGGCCCAAGTGTTTGGATTCTACAACCAATAAAATCTGTGCAGCAGAGACCCCCCCCTCCACTGCCCCCCCCAATACTCTGACATTTCTGTTGGAGGGTTGATTGATGGTCCAGGATGGGTGATTAGAAGTTTCCAGATACAGAACATAATGACACCTTGAATCAGAAAGCAGCATCAGGTTGTTAGCCATGTAGATCTGAGCCCCCACACAGATAGGAATCAGAATTAGCGTGAACAAGGTCCCGGTGTCGTGTTCCCCGCCCCCCCCCATGCCTATTCTAGAAGCTTCTTGCAGAGAAGACCACAGCTTTGCAGAGCCACAAAAGCTGAAGAGCTATTTTTCCCCCTCATATTTGGGGGAAATAATGCCAAAATGGGTTGCTTATTTATTTATGCTGCAATTTTGGGAGGAGATGGGGCTGAATTTGTTATTTCTCGATTTTTCTTTTTAATGTGATGTACGAGTGAATTACGACTCCGTCTCCCTCCGTCTTACCGCCTCTTTCCCTGCTGTCTTTCCACGTGCCCCATTTCTCTCTCTTCTTGTCCTCTCTCCCTGTCTACCCCTGACCCGCCTGGAAACTCGGCTCAGCTTGCAGAGAAACTGAAGCTGTCAGATCCTCTGGTTTTAGAAAGACGCCATGGGGACAGGGACCTGGAACCAGATTGGCTAGTGCAACTGCGGAGGCAGCACAAGGCACTGGAGGTGAGTACGGTGGTACCAGGGGCACTGGGTACCCCGTGTTTCTCAGACGTAGAGTGGACGTAGAAGTGCTCAGCCCCCCCATTCTGGTCTTCTCCCATCACTTCCGAGGCATGGTTAGAGTCCCCGATGCTGGCATTCAGAGCATTCTGTTCACAGCTCTTTGGCCACATGCAAACATTTTCCTGTGCCTGCCTAGGGCCACAGGGGGGCGCTCTTCCCAACCACTCTCGCCACCCTTTCTCTGAGGTCCCAGAGGAACGTTTCGCCACCATCAAAGCTTCCCCATCTCTGTTAGGGACAATGGATCACAGTGGACCCGTGTCACTTTCATGTAATGTAGGGCAATTGCTTAAAAGACTTCCGGGCCTTTCCTTTTTGTTCTGACAATTGCAAAAGCTGCTGGCCATAATCAGAAGAGTAATTGGAGCAGGGCCTCCCCCATTTTCTTTCTTCCACTCTGCTCTGAAGACAGGACAAAGTGGATTTTTAAATGTACACTGCCTTTTCACCTTCCCCGGGTAGCAAACTCTGAAGCCCACAGTATAGTTCTTTCCTTTGGCCCCGTGCTCTGGGCGGGCTGGGGACACTGGCTGGGCCCTCCTGGCCTGCCCTGAGCAGAGCAGGGAGACCTGAGAAACATGGTCTCTGGGCGCTGGGCAGTTCAGTGGAGTTCCCTTGGCTGGTCATTGCCTCGGGACATTTCTTATTGACTAAATGTCCCCATTGCCTTGTCTTCGGCTCTTATTTTCCTTTATACTGTTTAAAAGGATTTTTACTTCATTTTAAACAGCAAAATAAAACAGGAGACCCTGGAGATCCCGATGCTACCCACCCAGATATTCATGGAACCAGAGGAACAACAGGTACTCCAGGTGAAGACCTGACTACCCTAATGTGATTAAAACACTTTCAGCCACACCCACACTTCCCCTTCCTTGGTGTCTTCTTTGTCTGGAAATTGCACCCATTGATGCCCATTGATCCAGACTGCCCATTTTGATTGGCCCTTGCTGGCCTCACAGACCTGGACACATCTGAATTCCTGTAGCATGAGAGTTTCTGCTTTGCAGGCTAGGTTTTCAAATACTTGACTATCTCATGTTTTTTTTATTGCTAGCTAATTGTTTCACCTGTGTGAATATCTTGCTCCCCGCTAGATACATTTCTTAAGGCCAGAGAGGATACATTATTAATATTTTATATTAGTGTTCTAGACATTGGAAGTGTGACGATTTTGAGCTATCATTTGGCCATATACGTTTCAAAGTGTTTTCTCAGCCTCTTTATTCCTCCCTCAGAATGCCTCTAAGTGTCTGGTCAGCAGAAGTTATATTCCAAATTAACTCCATACATTTCCCTGAAGTCATCCCCCTGGTGGCCAAGTTCAGACAAGGGCCCTTGTCTCTTGCCTTCCAGGCTTTTGTACTTCCTTCCTGGATGGGTGGAATGTAGGGAGGCTTTGGCTTCTGTTTCTTGGCTTTGTGAGAACCTGGCTGAGTGTCTCTACATGATGACGTTCTTGCCGCCCTGGAGCATGAAGGCTGGTAGCTCACAGCATCCCTGTGCTCTTGGATCAAGCGCTTCTCACAGCCACACCGTAGTCAATCATATCAGCAAGGCCCCTTCCAGGGCAAACAGACTCTGAATCTTTACAAGCAAAGCCATCATTTCTAGAGCGTCATTTGATTTTTTTTTTTTTAACTGTTAGCCTTTAAAGTCTAATGAGGCCCCCTTTATGGAAAGCATGTAAACATCCAAACATTAAAAGGGTTAGTGTTCAATTGGATGTTATTTCTGGCCTCTCGACCCATAGGAGAAAGGCTCAGAGGTCATCCAAGAACTGAGGGCATCATTCTGAAGACAGCAGGGAGAGGTGTTACTGCTCATCAGCACTTTGCTTGCTGTCGTTAGGAAGCCACACGGAGCAGCCCAGTCCGTGTGATTGCTTTCTAGAGAAGACAAGAGCAGGAATGCTTAAGAATGATTTGTCTGTAACTCCTACATCTTCTTCCTTAGACATCCCCTACCAGGATCTTTCGGGATATCAAAGCTACTCAGGAGACCCGGGGTATCGCTCATCTCCATGGCCAACACCTGAGCAGACAGGCCTGACCCAGCCTATCCCACAGCAGCCTTTCCCTCTGCAGCGAGATGCCTACCCAGAGAGAGATGGTTCAAGGCACATGGGGACCCCAGTGCCTCTTTACTCGGTTCCTGCAACCCACTTGCCAGCGACCAGTGGCGGTGGCGGCGGCGGCAGTGTGGCAATAACAGGGGCTCCTGGAGGAAGAGTTGGGGAGGAAATGCTGCGGATGCATCCTTCCCTTGGTAAGACCTGCCAGCCAGGCTGGGCACCTTGGAGGGTGGAGTCTTGGTGGTAAAGAAGCAAGTGAGGGAGGCACAGCGACCTGCTGGGGCAAGGGGTCTTGGAACTGATAAAGGCACATGGGGATGCACTCTTGGTCTGCTCTTGTTAGCCCCAAGGAGTGTGTTCTCTTCTAGTCCATATACCTCTCTATTGGGACAAGTGGAGCGGAACAGGACAGACATCACTATTCTGTCTTTTCCTTGGAGTATGTAGTTTGAAATGCAGAGGCTGCAGAGCAGAGTGACAAAATGCCACCTGTGTCCCATGCACAGTGGTCAAAGGGCTTCTTTCTGATGTCACTCTCTACCCAAGAGCTTATTAACAGGACCATATTTCTAGTCTGGTTCCACATTTCTTCGGCCCTACCAGACCTTGGGGAGAAGAAGGCTACATGTGGGGGGAACAGCTTTGAATGATGCAAGGGAGGTTCTGGGGGATCACAGAGGAGGATCAGGTCTCATAGCTCTTCAACATAAAGCCTTGGTCAAGATAGAGACCCACATGGAAGGGAGGTAGGGGACAGTCCCTGAGATCTAGCTCCACGCTGCTGTGATTCCTTCCACACCTAAGGAACAACCTTGGTGTTCAGCAGGTGGTGTTGGGTTGACCAGTGTGTCATGAGGTGTCTTGAATCGAGTGGCACTGAACAAGTAGATTTTGCATTTCCGGCGACCGGCTTGTGGTATAAACTTTTGGCACTTAGGCCACTGGGTCCCCATTTCCTTTCTTCAAAATGGGCAGGGAGAGCACAAATTGAGGTCCTCGTCTTCATTTTTCTTTGGTGCTCCAGGAGAGACCACAGCGCCTCAAGAACCCCTGCAAGTTCCTGATGATCTAGAAGTAGTTTCCAGTCCTCAGGTGAGCAGACAGGGAGCAGAGCTGCTGCTGACTACTCTGATGCATCTGCCTTTTGCTACTGGCCCCTGGTTCCTCAGCCGCACACAGGCTCCTCTCTGGCGTTGGGAACTCTTTCTTCTACCCTGTGCAAATCATTTCTTGTTTCTGAGAGTTGGAAAGGAGACTTATTCTTGTGTATGCTTAGTCCCACCTGTCCCCCAACCAGGGTCACTGGGGGACAGAGCAGTAGAGATGGCTGATGGGTGGATCTCTGTTTTTTTTTTGCACCCCCTCTTCTTCCGTGTTGAGGAAACACTATTGGTGTTTATTTTAACATGCACCTTGGTTTGTGTCAGATTTCTATGGTAGTAGTGAGAGCACTTGCTTATCTCTTTTCTCCTAGCTGCCCAGTCATTCTACCTAGTTGCTGACAGACTGCACAGTACTCAATGCGGGTGCCAAATGAGATGTTTTGCCGCTTTGCATTGGTTAAATGATGACATTATGTAGTTTTCTTATGAAGTAATGGACTACGGATCTTTTGTTATTTAAATTTAGATGTATTTATTTGTGTGTGTGTGTGTGTGTGTGTGTGTGTGTATGTGTGTTTTGCCTGCATGTATGTCTGTGTACCATGTGTGTGCCCTGCTCTCAGAAGCCAGAAGAAAGAGCCAGATATCCTGGAACTGGAGTTATAGATGATTGTGAGCCACCATGTAGGTACTGGGAATTAAACCCAGGACTTTTGGAAGACCAGCCAGTGCTCTTAACCACTGAGCAATCTCTCTAGCCCCAGGGCTATGAATCTTTAAAAAATTATACTTTACTCGTCTTTTGCAGAAAAATTAGTACACTACTGTTATAGAAAAATTAAAATGAAGAACCAAATAAATACTACTCAGAATTCTGCAGTAAATGTTTAGGTTCTTCTATTATTTTCCCGTGTATGTGTATATATGTACATATATGTATATTAATAAATATATATACACACATGCTTTTTAATGGTTAAAACAGGTGTATTTTTTTCCTACTTGTTCTTAACACTGTATAAGATTTTTTTCTATCATTCATAAGTATAGTCTCAGAAAGGGTATGGCAAGATCCATTGTGTGAAAGTATTCCATTCCTTTGCAAATGTCTGCCAGACTCTTAAGTGTGCCAGGCACTGTGGTGGGGCTGGGCATGCACCAGTGGCCGGATGCAGCCAGCCTGATGCTCTGCCGTCTGGTGGGGGTAACTAGAGATGAACACCACTATGCAATGGGTAGCGTAGATGGCTCAGGGCCGTGCCTCTGAGGAAGTTTTTGAGCAGAGATCAGGGTGCAACGTGGAAATGAGCCAGGCACTAGGGCACAAGTGTCACTGTAGAGGAAGCCCTGCATGGACACAGTTGGATTTGCACAAGGGAGGGGAAATCCTTCCTTTTCTGTCTTCCCCTTCCCAACCCCTCCTTTTCTCCTGTACTTTTCCTGTCCCCCGCCTCCTTTATTTCACTTTTATATAACACAGATCGTCGCCACCCTAGAATATGGGCTCTTGCCTGTGTTTTGACTTCCCGAATCAGAAGAGATTCTTAGGAGGAGAAAACCAGGTTAGAGTTCCTTCCCTGCATTTTACTAGCTGTGTGTCTTGGGGCCTTGCCACACACTGGCTTTCTCATATTTGAAACTAGATGATCGTATTAGTGCATTTTTCACTGTACCGTTGTGAGGATTCAGTGGGTCATGATATGGAAAGCACTTAGAACAGTGTCTGGTATACTGAAGACTTATACCGCCTCCCCCAAATTTAAAAAATGAAGCTTTTCCTCTATTTTGCTGTAGTATTTTGTAAAGTTTTTCTTTTGTTACTTATGTTCTATTGAGAGTACAAAATGAAAACACACAGTATCAAGAGCAATATGTTGCATTCTTACCCTCAAGCGAGGTACCCAGTGTAGGCAAACTCAATGAGACAGAAGAGAACGGGGCAAAGGTGACCAGGGTATGGGAAAGGGGAGTAGGGAGGTAGTGTCTCTGGTGGGACGATGAGAAATGCTGGGGACGGACAGCACTGTGGATATACTTAATGCCACCGTGTTAGAAGTGGTTAAAGTGAGCTGTATGGGCTATGCATATTTTACCACGATAAGGGAAAGTTAGTAGGCAGGGGGTGTGGGTGTATTTGGCTCCCTTCTGGTATATATGTTCAGCTATTCTTGGGAGAGCCTGTTAGGATATAAGCTCCAAGGTTAGATGCACTGGCTGCTAAGTTCTCTGGCTTTGGAGTTGGAGCGTCTCTCAGAGGTGCTGCCAGAACCTTTTCATCTTCAGCAGTAGCTTCCAGTTCTGGAGACTAAGAACCCCCAGTGTTAGGGAGGAGTTGAAGACTAGGTGGGTCCTGGCTTGTCCTCTCACCTGTGATGAGGCATTTCCATGGGTAAGCCTGCTCTCTCCCCAGCAGGAAGCATCTCCCGAGCCTCGCCCTGGGTTCGGAGTGAGAAGTCATATGGAAATGTGCTCTGCAATCTGTTAAGCCCCATGTGAATCTCTGCTGTTGTTTTATTTTATCTCAGGCACCACTGGCTCCCGGGCCCCGAAGGTTTTCTGAAGATTCCACCGTTTCAGCCAAGGAAGACGAGGGCGGGTCTTCGGATGGGTCGGACGAACCATCTCACCAAGATGCTTCGCAGAGAGGAAAGCCAGGGGATGGGAAAGAGAATACAAAGGTGGAGGACTTGTTCTTTTCTATATCTCCCCCTTCATCCCTGTTTCAAACAGTGGATCAGAGCCCCGGGGCCCCTCACACTCATCTCATGCCCGGCTGGCAGCTCTCACAGTTGGTGAGAGAAACAAGTCCACTGGCCTTAACAATTCCCCTTGCCCTTCAGAGCTCTGGATTTGGCTGGTTCAGCTGGTTTCGATCAAAGCCTGCCAACAGTGAGTCCCCCTCTGGAGATGAAGACTCCTCGGACAGCTCAGACTCAGAGGTAACCTCCACAGATGGGCTGGCAGCCCCTCCCTGTGGACCCCAGAGGAAAGCCAAACACATCACAGCCCTGGCATCACACTCTACCTTGGGCTGAAAGAAAGGAGACCACAGGAAACAAATCTGTGTTTAAAAGCAAAAGGCAGAGTGAGACAAGCCTTGGAAGTCAGACATGGTGTCTCGTGCCTGTAATCACAGCATTTGGGATGCTGAGACAGGAGGACTGCTGTGAGTTGTAGGCCAGCTTGGGCTATATAATTTGACCCCATTTAAAAAAAAAGCAACACATACACACATACATACATACACACACACACACACACACTGGAGAGAGAGAGAGAGAGAGAGAGAGAGAGAGAGAGAGAGAGAGAGAGAGAGAGAAAGTGAGCAGAAACATTAGAAAATTAAGATGGAGAATTTTTACTTCAGAGCCCCGGCAACAGGAAGCCAACCCACATGCTTAGCGGAGGCTTCACAGAAGGAAATGGTGTTTGTGGGGAGCTGCCCATGTGGAGATCATCCCTCTGGATGCCAGAACACATGTAGGTTGGCATGGATTTACTGAGCAGTGATGCCATCTTTCCCGCCTCTTTTCCACCAAGCAGGAGTCTCCTGGCACATCACCTCCTCACCATACCGGCCTGGGCCTCTCACCAACACCTCCACTCACATCTCCATCTGTATCGGATGCCAGCTCCTCCTCCAGAGGCATAGGTACTGCCAGCCCCATCTTTTGGGTCATCTCTGGTGCTGTTGGTGCTCCTAGATGGAGGGTACTCTCTTGGGTGTGGGGACCCCTTGGTTCTGAGTATGTGAAACAGCTTTGACTCCTTGCTTCCTAGGTGGGAGCAATCTGCTTGGATCCTCATACAGCAGCGGAACAGCTGAAGGCACTGGGGTTGGAGGCTTTTCTGGCCCACAGGTGAGCAGGCTATGGGTTGGGGCCTAGGACTCCAGATGACACCTGTGTATGGGTGAGGACTGAATATCTTCAGCAGCCTGGACGAGCACTCCTGTAAAGGATGACTTCACAGGATATGGAGACAACTTCTGTTTGACTTTGCTCCAGCTGCCTACGTAGTACCTCAGCTGGAGGGTCGAGACAATGGCAGGATAGTTTCTCACAAATCTGGGCCACAGAAGTGCATGGCCAAGGTGCTGCTGGCTGCTCTGATGTCTTCTAGGGCTTTCTTTGTGTCTTGCAGGCTTTCCACCTGTGTCTTCATTGGGTCTTTCCTCTATATGTGTTGTGTTAACTCTCCTCCTTTTGTCAGGACACTGCACATGTTGGGTGGGTGGGTGGGGAACCTATGCAGGTTTTTTAAGGATTCTCTTTCATGCTGAGACACTGGGGCTCTATTGTATGTGGTTTTGAAGTGTTACACTTCAGCCTGTGTAGCTCGCACAGAGTGCAGGGACCGGCCTCTTCTCCTGCCTTCCTGAGAGGCGGAGTTCACTCATGTGCACTTGGCTAGAGCTATCATAAATTCTTCACAAATTGTCTATATAGCTAGGGATTTCATGACTATTGCTAGGAAAATGTTTCTATTTCTTGAAGCCTGGTTGGAGTACTCTTGTAGTATCTGAGGCCTTCTGAAGAGTTTTGATAGTGATTTTAATGATCCGATATAATTTATTGTGACTTTTTCTTCCTATCCTTTTTGGGTCTAAAAGTGCCTGTCTCTGTACGGTCATCCCGGGTCCTGGCATTGGTTGTGACCACTTGAGTTTCGTAGGAAACCCTTCTGTTGGTCAACATTGGTTCCTGTGGAAGGGTTTAACGTACCAGGAAGCAGCCACAGATCAGCTTCTCTGTTGTTTGCAGCCACAGGGTGTTTCTTCTGAGTTCTACTCCCAGCCAGGTGCTCTGCCTCCTCCACCCACTTTGCAAGGTGCTGTTCCTCTCTACAATCCATCTCAGGTCCCTCAGGTAAGGACCATCCTTATGGGGAGGAGTTAGGAGGCCAGGTTATAGAGTAAGGAGGGTGGGATACACTTCCAGTTTCCCACCCACTGAATGTGAGTTCCTGGGCAATTGTTGAGACTCTCCTAAGTCTCTGTTTCTACATCAGTAAAATGGAGCCAGCAGAAGTTATCTCAGATATAATATGTATGTAATATAGTACCTAGAAAAGCTCAAGAAATGTCACACCTCTGGACATCATTCTTGACCTGTCATTGGTCCTGAGATATGAGAGACACAGTGCTGATGCTCTGGTGTGTGTGCCTTCTCCTGTCTTGAGGTGAGGGGATTCCTGAAAACTTTGAGAGAAGCCATACTCTCTGCTCCTCAGTGACCCAGGATGACTCTGCAGATCCATTCTTTGGCCTCGGCTCTTTATGAAATCAAACTTCCTGTCACCATTGTTCAGAGGTGAAGGCTGGTCATTAGGATACCGTGTTGGGAAGCTACCTACATCTGAAGTGGGTGCTCTTGCTCAACATACTAGTTGCCTGGTGGGGCCATGCTTGAAAGTGTCTCTTCTTTTCCAGCTTTCCACAGCGACTAGCCTGAACCGGCCAAACCGCCTAGCCCAGCGCCGCTATCCAACCCAGCCATGCTGAGAGTGACCATCTGTCCCAGGCTCATGAGAGTGACCACCTACTCATCCAGGGCTCATGAGAATGACCGTCTGTCCAAGTCTCATGAGAGAGACCATCTACCTATCCCAGGCTCAGGACCACCTGCCCATCCTGGGGGCATGAAAATGACCACCTGCCCATCCTGGGTTCATCTCCAGGAGCACAACTTTTCTCTTGCTTTCTTCTTCTCAGTACCCCACTCACCTCGTCGTATTCAGGCACTTGCTGTGAACCACTGTGCAAGGGGTAGCTGGAGATAAAGGGCAGGGTCTCCCTAGACACAGCTTAATCTAGTCTTCAGCTTAGCCTTAGAGTGGTGGGAATGATCTCATCAGATGGAGGAGAAGGGGATAGTGTCCTCAGTAGAGGGTCATGGCAGCAGCACTTGAGGCAGAAGCTTGAGAATCTCAGGAAGATGAGGGCTCTGAGAATCCCATGGCAAGAACCTAAAGGACACCACTGGGCTGTGGAGCAGGGGCTTGGAGCAACATCCCAGAATAGCTTTGACTGAGACTTGCTTAAAGACCAGTTTATGGCTCTTGTTAGCAAAGTTTTTACATTGAATTTGATTATTGCTGCCCTTCAGTGATTCCTTCTTCAATGACATTTCAGCAATTTTCCTCCTGGTCCTAGTTTTGAGCACATTTTCTGTGTGGTTCAGACTAATTATATTTCTCTCACTTTCTTAGCTGGTCCTATTTTTTCACATTCTGACATCTGGCTATCAAGTTAGATTGCTGTAGGCATCATATTGTCATGGTAACTACTGAACCTAATGATGCAGATGGATGGAACATCAGTATAATAAATAATGGAAAACGTTTCCTAAAAACGTCATCCTTTCCATAAGAGGGGAGAAATGAGTGTCTCATATTGTTAATACCTGCCTTCCTACCTCAGGCCTTTGCAAATTGATGTTCTGAGGGTCACTGGGGCCTAACGGAGGAGGGAGAAATCTTGGAAATTTCCATTTTTTCCTTTCAAACCTCAAATAGGAATGATTCTTGCTGTTTGTCAGATTTGCTTAAAATTGCTCTTCACAAAGAACATTTTTTTTGTATGTGTAATTGTACATAAAAGTTTTGTACTTTAATGTACTATGGTTCTGATGTTGATAGCGATTAAATCCAGATAATTTTATAGCAAATGCTTGTTTCTAGCTGGTTTCTGCAGAGGGAAAAAAAATACACTGATGATGTCTTCCCTGAAGTCTTTCTAATAATGGTTCCATTGTGTGATCAGGTGTGAATAGCTAGAAAGAGCCCTTTGTTAATGGAGAATCAAAGACTGGTCCTCTTAACTTTCAGGTCTACTCTAATGCTATCAGTTTTTTTTTTTTTTTTTTTTTTTCCAATTTAAGGAACACGGACAAAAGATCCCCTAACCAACTAGTCACTTTGCTAGATGAATGTGGCATATTCTGTTTCCTATTCTTTTCATCTTAGTTGAAATTAGAAACTATCTACATAACCATTTTGTACCCCGAAAACCCTCACTATGTGCTGTTTCCTAGGTTGGGCATGTTGACACCTAGCTCCAGTACCCTAGCAATCATGTGTGAGTATCCCAGGCACCAAACTGTCTAGACTCGAACCCTGCCCATGCACAGTTCACCTTGTAACCATGGACAAGGTTGCTTCTTTGTCCTGTGTTCCAGTTTTCTCATTTATAAAATGATGGTGATGATAATAATATATACCTTACAGGGAAAGTGCTAGAATTAAATGAAAGTCCTAGAAATCTGGAAGGTTCATGCTAAGAACTTTGTGCTTCAAATTATTAGTGTATAGCTAATAAGCAAAATACGGGACTTCAACTTTTGCCTGCCAGATTTTTTGTGTCGTTTTTTGATGTATGTGTCTGGTGGGAATGATAATTTTAAAATACTTCTCAAGATGTGTCTTAATTGCAAAGCCAATTTTCCCGGTATCCAATCTGCCACCTTGCTCGGCCAAAGGCATTGGTCCCCTGGGAGCAACAACCCAGGGAATGTCCTACCCAATGAAAGAGAGTACGTCAGTGGAGGACCCTGAAGACCCAAGAAGAAGGCGGGGTCCCCCATGCTCCAGTCCCCCCCCTCTGTTCAGGCATTCACAGGAAACCAATGACTACAGTGTTCAACAAGGCAAGCGTGTGCTGAGCTTCCTTAAGTCTACAGCAGGACACACAGCTCTGAACACATCTTCCCGTGAGGGACTGACAGGATGCTTTATGCACCAGAGAAGGAGGAGGGAGGTTCATGATACTTATGCTAATTCGTGATGGAAAGTTTTCACTGTGGAAAGCCAGAATGCGTCCATCCGTCTGTATGTGCTTGATTAAAAGAAGTCCATTGCTCATTGATCAGGAGAGCTGGGTTCAGGAAGGGTCTGACGAACGGGGGTCACTCCAAGTTCTTCATTGTTTATCAGCTTTGGATGTGTAGCGGTGGCTGTGTTGCTGAAGGTCACAGTCATTTAACAGCTTCAGCTGGTAGAAACCGGTTGTGGTGAGACAAAAGAGGGCAGCTGTGACAGGAAATTATTTTTTCCCGGGAGGGAAAGGTGGGGATGGGGAAGCAATGTCAGTGGAGACTCTTTCCTCTTCCACAGCCAGGAGGGCCTGCTAGACTGGCGTGGTACTTGGGTGGCCAATGTGTTGGGGCCATAGTGGCTTGATCCTGGGGATGGCCAGGTCTGTAATGAGAGGTAGAGCTCTCTCTAGAAGGGAATAATCTAGAAGGAAATAATTACAGTTTCCCGAAAGGCCAGAGGGGACCAGTGGTGTTCAGAAGACCATAGGTCTAGACAGGAACAGAGGAAAACACAGAGAAGATGCATGGGTCAGAGACCCTCTTTCCTATCACCCCACGCCATTTGCGGAGAGAAACTACAAGTAGAATTCTATCTTTAAACAGAATAAATGGCCAAAAGACACAGTTTAAGAAGCAGAGCTTGAGACAGTATTAATTGGCAAGTTTGCTTTTCCCTGTTCCTCAGTAGAGCGCAACCTTGGAGGGGGGATAAATGAGTGCAGGAAAAGAAAGCCTCATTTTCCTTGTGAAACTGAGTGGTGAGTACAGCTTTGCAATTCAGCTATATACATATAATTTAATATTTATATGAAAACATTTAAACTTAATGTTTAGTAATTTGAAAGAGAACAAACCGTTAAATCCCATTTAAGTGTCTTTATCACGGAGTACCATTCCAACCCTCTGTCTAAGTCCTCTTTCGTGGCTCTGAAACTGTGACTGAGCTTGATGCCTCTGTCACCTGCAGACACGCCCCTTCCAACTCCACGCAGGCTTCAGACTGTCCAGGATCAAAGCCTCTGTTAGAATTTTACTTCTCTAAGATGCTTCGTTTTGGAGGGAGAGGGCTTCTCCTCTGAGCAACCAAAAAAGAGGAGCGAAGGACATTACCAAAAATCAGAGTGTTTTCTACCCAGCGGGAAAATGCAAACACTCTTTTTGCTTGAAAAGGAGATGCGATTTGGTTCTTGCCATTCTTAGGATTTTTACTAGTCCTTCCACCCTGAGGAGAGTTGTGGAAGTCATTTTTCTACGTCGTCTGCCTTTTGTCTTCAGCTGGAAACTGCCCAAGCAGCAGCACGATTCGATTCTGGAAGTAATAGCAGTAGGATGTAGGTGCTTGGCTGAGCTCATGCCCTCAATGCTCGCCCATGCTCACGATTTACTTATACCTGGCCATCACTCATTCAGGTCCGTCAGAAATGGCTTCTTAATGAGACTGAAAGTTATTTTGAATGAAGATTAATAGCATGTTCAAATGTTTTCATCACGATCTTACTAAGTGGCAGAATCTGCTTCCTACACTTTCTTCCTTTCTGTACATTCCCATCTCTAGGTAATAGCACTTCCTTGGATAAAGACAACAGCAGTTTAAGTCTGCTTTACTGACCTGTGAAAACTGCTTGTTACTTTCACATGAGATGCTTCTTGGCCTCTGCCCATTGTAGAGAGTGCCTATTCAGTTGAAAAAGAAACAAGGGGAATCCCATAGCTTCTGTTTAGCTTTCACTGTGCTTTGAATATGAAATGTCCCCCATAGGTTCACGTGCTTGAACATGTGGCCCCTAGCTGATGGTGCTGTTTTGCAAGGTTGCAGGACCTTTAACAGGTGGATCCTTGCTGGAGGAAGTGGACCACTGCAGCGAAACTGTGAAGTTTTATAGCTTGGCCCCATGTCCTGTCTACTCTCTGTTTCCTGACTACAGACACCATGTGACCAGTCACTTTATGCTCCCACTGATATGCCTTCCTCCCCATGACTGACTGTATCCTTTCTTACACTATAAGCCCAAATAAGCCCTTCTTCCGTTAGGTCGATCCCTGTTAGATCTTTGGTCATAATGAGAGAAGTAATTAATACATCCCCAAGTGAAGACAGGAAACAGATGCTTACCTGGGCTGGAACTAAGTCATAAACAGCCATAGATTGCATTTCTACTTGTGAAAGTGTGTCTTACAAAATGGGATTTTCTTCACCAGCAGTGAGGATTCAACTACATTCTTGGAGTCTTTAGTGATCAGATACTCTGCATTTCAATAATAAATATAATAACATTTATTGAGGATATCATACAAGATATGAAGAATCAAAAGCGGAGGTAGAGGTTAAGCCTTATGTCCAAGTTGATGGAGCTGGTTAGGATGGAGCTAGAATTAGAATCCAGGTTGGTGGGGAATCTGGGCTTTTAGTCATGTTATCTCTGAGGTATGTGAGATACTTCCCACATATTCATCCAGTTCAATGATGTTGTCGATGAGGTTAGGTCAATGGCAGGTCAAGCCTTCCACTTTTTTCCTCAATGGAGATAGCTTTGAGAACCGGATGTGGGCTTGCTGAATCGCCACCATAGACATTATTCTTGCTTCCCTCTGCCCTACACAGAATTTAGAGGCTGGGAAAGGCCATGAGTTCTGCTGTAGAGTTCCTCTGTCAGGGTGAAACCAAGCAGTGACTTTTGGGTCTATACAGATTTGTGGACGCCATCCCATGAGGCAACTCTCAGGATGCATTTCTTTTTATCTAGCCTCCACCCCAGCCTCCTTTATTTCCCCTCTTCATAATTAAGTTTCATTTTTAAGAGACATTCATCTAGAAGATAGCCTCTCCCTGGAGCATCTTCCAAGTGTACGCTATCATGAAGATGCCTACGTTTGTTTGTTTTCTGTTGCTGTAATAAATTAACTGAAGATGGACAATATACAAAGAAAAGAAAAGGGTCAGGGCCCCATTAACTTCTGGTGAGGGCCTTGTTTGGGTCACTGTGTGGCTGATGGCTTTGGGCTATAATGCATGTAATATGAGAGATCACATGGTGAAAATTGCATGGCAGCTGGATGAGGGGCCAGCATTACTCCTTCATAAGAATTCTTAGTAAAATTTATTTAACATTATCCATTTATTTATGCTTGAGACAGGATCTAATTATTTAGTTCAGTTGTTCTTGAACTTGCTATATTGTCCAGGCTCAATCCAAATTCAGTATCTTCCTGTCTCCACTCCTAGCTGTTATCTATCTATCTATCTATCTATCTATCTATCTATCTATCTATCTATCTATCTATCTATCTATCTAT